AGAAGTGATATATATGTAGGATTGGGACACTCCAATTGGTAGAATGCCTTTTTGGATAAACCCGGGAACAAAACTGTGCAAGCTCGGTCCTAAAGCGAACAATATCATACCATGCAATGCAGTGGGTGGTTACAAATGGTAAGAGAGATAAAGTATAGCTGGAAGTGTGGCCTAAGTGTGGTGATTGTGGTGACTTTTGTGGGCGCGTGCAAGAGGCACTGACATGCTATCTCACGTTATAGGTACACAATCCCACATCGCCTAGGGTAAGGTGAATGTGAAGTGCTAATTTATACTAGTGACTTCTCGAATTGGTATATGAGGCCTTTTAGGTAAACCCAGATAAAAATAATGTGGGCTCAACCCAAATCGAACAATAACATATCTTGTAGTGGAGTGAGTCATTATAAATGGTGTCAAAGCCTCACATAAGTGGTCAACGTCCTCAGATGTGCTTCATCTCTGATACCATTTGTAATGTTCCATTCTATCGCATGGTAAGATATTGTCTACTTTGGGACCGAGCATGTACGGTTTTATTCTTCTATTTATCTCAAAAGGCCTCATACCAATTGTGTACCAATCCTACAAACAGATCACTTCTTCTTTCCATACCTAGGCGATGCCAGATCGTGCATCGTACTCGCCACATGGTCGCCATAATGAATAGTGACCAATTGGGACGTTGGCCCCTAAGGGGAGAGGGGGGGGGGGGGGGGTGATTTTGGTGACCAATATGTGCTGGTGTGCCGTAGGTGTGTGCAAGAGGAACTGGTTGGTTACCAAATTAGGCAAGCTATAGATGGACAATCCCAGATCACTTGGGTAAGGTGAAGGTGAAGTGCTTTTATTTAGTAATGCTATCTCCAATTTGTATGACGTCTTTTAGGATAAAACTAAATCGAAAAACCGTGCGGGATCATGAATAGTGGCCAATAGGGACGTTGGCCCCTAAGGGGAAGAGAGGGGGGGGGGGGGGGGTGATTCTGGTGACCAATATGTGCTGGTGTGCCGTGGGTGTGTTCAAGAGGAACTGGTAGGCTACCAGATTAGGCAAGCTATAGATGGACAATCCTAGATCACTTGGGTAAGGTGAAGGTGAAGTGCTTTTATTTAGTAATGCTATCTCCAATTTGTATGACGTCTTTTAGGATAAAACTAAATCGAAAAACCGTGCGGGATCGCGGCCGAAGCGTACAATTTTATACCATATGGTGGAGTGGGTAGTTACAAAAGTTATTAAAGACTAACCCAGTCAGAATTTTGGCCAACAAGGACGTTAAACCACTAAGGGAGTGATTGTGGCAACCTTGTGGGCGGGTGCGCGGCACTAGTAGGCTATCATGCTTGTAAGGTGTACAATTCCACTAGGTGTGAAAAGGGGAAACACTATATAGTATTGGTATAGTCCAATTTGCACGAGGCCGTGCAGGCGTGGGCTATAGCGTACAATTTTTTACTTGGAATGGGTTGTTACAAATGGTATCAGAGCCTCCTTTTCTAGCGGGAAGTGTTAGTAACAAGCAGGCTACTATCTAGCAAGCTACGGGTGCACACACCCACATCGCGTTGGTAGTGAAAGTTGAAGTGCTTTATATGTACGATTGATACACTCTAATTGGTATGAAGCCTTTTGAGGCTACCTCCAAGAACAAAACTGTGTGGGCTCGGGTCCAAACGTACAATATCATATTATGTGGTGTATTGAGTCGTTAAAAATGGTATCTGACCTAGACCTAGTCGGAAGTGTGATTATAGTGACGTTGTGGGCGGGTGTCCGTGGTCTGGTACGAGGTACTAGAGGGCTAAGGGTGCACAGTCCAGATCGCCTGGGTGTGGAAAGGGAAAATGCTTTATTTATTGGATTGGTACCCTTCAATTAGTATTAGACCTTTTGAGGCTAAGTTCAAGAACAAAATCGTGTGGGCTCGGACCCATAGCGGACAACATAATGCCATGTGTAGTAGTGGATTGTTATAAATTGTATCAGAGCCTGACTCAGCCAAAAGTGGCCAACGCGTACGTTAGGCCCTTATGAGGTGATTTTGGGATTTTGTACCCGTAGCTAGCCAGCAAGTAACCTACCATTGCACGGTTTGTTGCCCAAATTCGACACACTTCAGACTCTTTTAGGCTCTGACACCATTTATAAAGACTCACTCCACCACATGGTATGTTATTAATTGATTTAGGCTTCAGCCCGCTTTATTTTTCTCTAGGTGTTACCTAAAAGGCTTCTTACGAAATCAAGAAGGCATGAGTACATAGTAGCAGTTCACCTTCACCTTACCCAGGCGATCTGGGATTGTGCACTTGTAACGTGAGGTAGCCTTACTAGTGTCTCTTGCTCTTGCGCATAAAGGTCACGACAATCACCTCACGTTCCCATTGGTCTCACTCTTGCTTTGCTACTCCATCGCATGGTATGATATTGTTCGACTGAGCCCGCACGGTTTTATTCTTGGGTTTAGCCCAAAAATCCTCGTCAATTGGAGTGTACAAATCCTACACATATATCACTTCTCCTTTCCACACTAAGGCGATGTGGGATCATGCTTTGTACCTTCCCGCAAGGTCGCCACAATAAAGAGTTGCCTATAGGGATGTTATCTCCCTAAAGGGGGTGATTCTGGCAATGAATGTGGGTGGGTGTGCAGTGGGTGATTGCAAGAAGAACTGGTAGGCTACCACATTGGCAAGCTATAGGTGCGCAATACCATATCGCCTGGGTAAGGTGAAGGTGAAGTGCTTTTATGTACTGGTACTATCTCCAATTCGCATGACGCCTTTTGGGTTAAAACTAAAGAGTAATACCGTGCGGGCTCGCGCCTGTAGTGGACAATTTCATACCATGTGGTAGAGGGTCGTTACAAATGTTATTAAAGACTAATCCAGCCAGAATTGTGGTCAATGAGGACGTTGAAACCCTAAGGGTGTTATTGTGGCGACCTTGTGGACTAGTACGAGGCACTAGTAGGCTATCATGCTGGTAAGGTGTATAATCCCACTGGTTGTGGAAGGGAGAAGCGACGTATATGTAGTTTTGGTACACTCCAATTGGTATGAGGTCGTCCAGTCCGAGGCCCAAAGCTTACAATTTTATACTTCGAATGGGTCATTTCAAATGGTATCAGTGCCTTACCAACCGTTAAGTGTTGCTAACAAGCACTTGAGCCCCTAAAGGGGGTGATCGTGACGAATTTGTGGGCAGGTGCGAGGCACTGGCCGGCTGTTTTTTTAAAATTTGTTTATTGTTATAGTTTCTTTTTATTATTATTTGTTGTTAGGTTGGTTGTAGTTTTTATTTATTGTTGTTAGGGTTTATGCTTTTCTATCATTTGTCGTTTTTATTATTTGTTATTTAGATTTTTCTTTTTTATTGTTATTTGATAGTGGTAGTGTTTTTTTTATTGTTTGTTTATTGTTATAGTTTTTATTTATTTATTATTTGCTGTTGTTAAGTTGGTTGTAGTTATTGTTTATTGTAGTTTGGGTTTGTCTTTTTCTATTTGGTTTAGTTATTATTTATTATTGTTACGGCTATTCTAGTTTTTATTTATTGTTTTTAGTGTTCTTTTAGTTATTTGTTGTTGTTGGGGTTTTTCTTTTTCTTATTATTTGTTGATGTGTGGTTGTTTTTTTTATTTTTTTTTATTTTTTTTTTGGTGTTAGGTTGTTCCTGTAATTATTTTTTGTTGGCCACACTTCTAGCTGGGTCCGACTCTAATACCATAAAGTGTACCAATACCACATATATAACGTTTTTTCTTTCCATACCCAGTTTGATTGTACACCTTACTAGCATGATAGCCTATCAGTGTCTCGCCTCGCCCACAAGGTCGCCATAATCACCCTCTTTGGGGTTCAACATCCTTGTTTGCCATAATTCTGGCTGGGTTAGTCTCTAATAGCATTTGTAGAAGAAAATAAAGGTCTGGTGGGCTTTTAGGCCTTCTGGTCCAACTGGAATGAGATACGACTTTAAAAAGAATAATCCCGTAACTCAAATCTGATCTATCATGGAAGGCTCAAGCTTTAGGAAGTAGAGCTCGAGCTTTGGGAACAAGGCTCGAGCTTCATTGAATTATTGCTCGAGCTTCAAAAGATGGTGCTCGATCTTCACTTTTACCCTTAGCCAAATTTCTTCAACTATTTTCCGAAACGTCTTTTCCTTCAACACTTAGAATATTTTGGGATTTACCTCTTCTAACATTGCTCGATCCAAGCTTCATGGGCTCGAGTTCTAGGTACCAAGCTTGAGCTTTAGGTATTCAAGGTTCGAGCTTTTAATGATGGTGCTTGATCTTTGAGGTTTGGCACAAGGCCCTGGGAGCTTGGTCCTTCTATTAAATCAACTCTTCAAATTCCGACGCCTTGTGCTTGAGCTTGAGGGCTAAGGCTCGAGCACCCTGAGGTCAGGCTCGAGCAGCCTAAGTAGGACTCGAGCTCTGAAGGTACAAGGCTCGAGCTTTAATGCCTTATTAATTTTTTTTCTTTTTCTTGCAGGGCTCGAGCCTCAGGACTTGGGCTCGAGCCTCAGGACTTAGGCTCGAGCTTTGGTTTCTGAATTCTTCCAAACTTCACCATTTAAGATCTCGGCTTGATTGAATGACCAGCAACGACTCTATAAGCTTCGATATTTGTCTTTTCATCATAAAGTCCCAGTTTTAACCGTTTATCTGGGAAAGTACCTATAAACACATATTAAACATAAATCAATCTAACAATGGATAGAAGTATCACTTTAGGCCTTAACATATGTATATTTAGGGACTCAAATATGTAATATTTAGCGCTCATCACACCCCTAAACTTACATATTACTAGTCCTTTAGCAATACAGAACTAAAAAGCCGCTTTCGTGGGAATCACGGTTGCATTTAGCCTATTGATGAGTGCTCAAATGTGATGCATTGTAGCAACTAAGTTAGGGTAGTTTAGTCCATTCATCTATCTTACTTTCCCGTTTTAGTATTTATTTGTGTTTTTGCCTATTTCAGGTCAAAAGGTTAAAACAGGCTAAAAAGAGCCTTTTAACTTACTTTTGGAGCTAAGGAAAAAATCCAGAAAAAGTCAGAAAATCTGCACTGATCAAGCTTTGATCGATTGAAGGAAATCTTAATCGATCGAAAAAGGCTACAATTGATTGAGATCAAGGCGGTGCCAGCTCAGCAATCTGGATAAGTCCAAGAAGATATTTTCATGCCACGTCAGCTTTGATTGATCGAAGTAAGTTTTCGATAGATGCAGAGAGCTGTTTTATTCCTGCGTTGGCGCGAACTTCACCTACCACATGGGATGCGAGATTGAACCAATTAGAAGCCAAAATTCTAACTTGTTGCCTACTCCAAGGACTTTGTATTTAAAGGGAATTGGACCATTTTGTAATATATCTTTTTTCTTTAATTTTATTTTAATTTTAGATTGTAATAGCTATTTTCTCTCTCTAGAAAAGTTAGGATTAGGGTCAGAAGAAAATAGAAGAGTGGAGGTTCCAAGAACACATCTCAAGATCTACACGCACACACACACTCTCTCTAATTAACAAAGAAAAAGAGGAAGAAGATGGAACCATGTTTGGGGATTACCTTTGCGGGTTCCAATATCATATCCACCTCCTCCATGATTGGCTAGACTTCTCCTTGGGGCTTAGATGAGCCCTAAGTTTGTAATCTAAACCTCTATATCTTTTTTACTTTTTGGGTAATGTTATCTGGTGATTAGTGTTTTTAGCCTTGTGAATTTAATAAATCTTGGGTTCTCCTTTGATTTATATGGATTAATTCTTTCTCTTGATTCTCTATGTGATTACATGTTATCTTATGTGTGACTATTTGGGAATTGATCTCTACAGTAGTTTTTCTATATTAATTGAATGTCTATGTGTGGTTGACTATTTGGGAATTGATCTCTACAGTAATTTTTCTATATTAATTGTATGTCTATGTGTGGTTGATTGAGAATCTAGTGATGGCTAGACATGGTTTTTATTAGATGGGTTTGTCAATTAATTTGACAGATTATGCTTATGCTTGATGGGTTATTCTACAATTTAATTCGTGCTTGTAGGTAGGTAGATAATCTTTACTTGATTTGATATTCCATGGCTTATTATTGCAAATTCCATGATTCTCTAGATTGATGTGTGCTATAATTGTGACTATTTTGATGGGTCATGCTTAGAATTGATGGGTTGTTTTACACTTAATTTAATTGTTTGTTTAGTAGGCAATTAATTATTGAATTTGATGGTCCACGTATAATATTATAATTGGTAGTCGCATTTTGTTCATAAGAATGTTTTCCCCAAATTAGGTGAAAGTGTGGTTTGGTGAACGAGCTTGGTGGCGATTCTAATGCACCCCAAGACCTCACTTCTTATCTCTTAAATTCCTAACTCAACTTAGTTTATTTTAATTGCATTTTAATTTCCTTGTATCTTAGTTTAATCAACTAATCTTTCTCTTTTGCAATCAATTAATACATTAAAGTCATCACTACTCGCTATATTTCATTAGTTGTAGTAGTGGTTTTTGTAAATGTAAATTTGACTAGAAAGCTTTCCGAAACCACATTCATATTTTGACCTTGTGAAGTGACCTCTTGCATTACAAAGTCTATTTTCTAAACACTTAGAAAGGGGCTCGTCACCTGTGCAACAAGCTTTTAAACCCCTAGGTTACCCCTAGTGGACGAGTTATAGTGTCTTGAGGATTTCCAGTCATGGTACCCACAAACATCTCAAATTGTGCCTTAATTGCACAACAAGCTCATTAAAGCCTGTTTTCAAATTATAATATTTCTACAGTTCATTAATCAGTCAAATATAGCAAGTACAGCCAATCATATAATTAGAAAAACTTTCAACTTCCAATTTCAATTTAGCAGCTATGGTCCCCATATGTCAGTTTAATCATTTGTTCAATAATCTTAATCTCCAAAACTCTTTGAAAGTGATCTTACAATTAAACATGTGGCTTACTGTCCATACTTGCATTTATTCCTGGCTATTTCTCAATTCACAGGCAAACTTTTCAAATTCCAACTCCCAAGGCATTATTATTTTTTCTACAAGTATGCATTTTTGAAAAAGGATACTGTGCAATGTTCAAGTTTATTAAGCTTTCTAAATCACACATGTAACGAACTTTCAGCCAATGACTCCCAGACCAGATGGTCTTAGGGCATTAAGTGATAAAGCACCCTTCCGGACCTAATTGTTCAAGTAATCTAGGTAACCTAAACCCCTTATGTAACAAACTTTCAGCTAATGACTCCCAGACTAGATGGTCTTAGGGCATTAGGTGTCAGAACACACCTTTAAGGACTTAATTGCTGAAGCAATTAAGGTATAGACCTGAACTTGACCATTTTTTACTTGTTTTCTTCACATTTTTTTTTTTTTTTTCACATTGTTGAAGAATTTTTTTCATTTATTGCATGGCATACATACCATTTTTTTTTGATTTTTTATTTTTCCTATGCCTTGGTTATCAAAATTATCAAATCCACCTACTCATCTCAGTTTAACACAAAATAAAATAAGACTTCTAGTTTTTACCCCACATAATTCATACAAGTGTGAATTTTTACAAACTATAGAATTTCAGAGATCAATAGCATTAAACAATAATCATCCTAATAGAGTAGATCACAGGCCACCAACTGATTTCAAAAAATTTCAGGAATCCCTTTTTCACATTATTTTGGCATACAGACCATTTTTCCCCCCCTAAATGGAGGAAATTTTTTCATAAATATGAACAATAGAATACAAACAAGTCATGGGGGCATACCCCTATCCAAAACATCCAAAATGAAAAACCAAGAAGACAATCCTGATAAAACCTATATCTAGGAAAACATCAAAATTCAACAAGAAAACTCATTTCCCTCCTTCTAGAAGCTGAGAAAACTTGCTTCTGATAGTCACGTTAAAATCTGAAAGAAATTGCATACAAACCATTTCTAACCAACATCAGACTACAATCAGAATATATGACAATCAACAGACTCAAAATCATGCTTATAACATCAAATATCATGTCCTTGTGTTTATCAAAAAAATTGAATTTGAATTTGAATTGAATTTTCCTTACCCCCAAACTTAGTGTTCACATTGTCCTCAATGTGTGAAAACAAAAGAAAGTTTAGAATGATATTACCATAAAAGCTAAGACCAGCAAATATATACCAATGTGAAGTATAAAAGGCAAATGAGAAGTCACCCCCAAACTTAGTCTATAGTACCTGGTAAAATTTGCAAACTCCAACACACATTAGAGTATTAAGTATATGGAGTAATAACAGAGAAATATCACATATAGCTCAAATATCAACACAAGTATAAGATAGGCAAAAAACATGTATATAAATGATTAATATTAGTACAATGCTTTGAAATAACAGACTTAGGGCAGAAATACAACATACAGAAATAAGTACATAAAAAATGCTGCCCTAGTCAACAAAAGTGCCAATCTAGCAAAAATAAATACAGAAAAGCCCTAGACAGCTAATCTATATGAGGTGGAGGAGTATCGGTAAAAGTAGAAGGGGCAGATGGAGTGCGGCGTAATAGCTCCTCAATAATGCTCTACTGTGCAGTCAGCATCTACCTCAGCACTATCTGTCCATCCTACAGCTCTGTCACCCTGGCCTGTAACTCTCTAATCTCAGCCTGAAAGGAACTCTCAGGCTGTGCTGCAGGAACTGGCCTCTTCCTCAGTGGGGCCTAGCCATCAGAGGTATCCATCTCATCCTCCGTGGCCTCATCAACAAAATCTGGCAGCTTAGCAATAACTGCTATATAACCCTTATCGCCAAACTCCACTGCACTGCGGCGATGTGCCGGCATATGTATCCACACCTTATTCCATTCCTTCATTCCAAACTTTGGAGATTCATCACAAGACTTCTCTTTTTGACCTACCACAAAACCCTGTAGCTCTAATAGCCTAGTAATCATATATGAAAAAGGTAGCATATGGGTAAGAACATTCTTATGTGGTCCAATCTCTAACCAAAACTTTAGTAGCTGGCAAAAAATCATCCTAGGAAATGAATACCAGTGCTCAAACTAAATAGCATAAAGTGTCTGGAGAAAATCAATATTCCTAATATTCTTATGCCCAAAAGGATGGACATTAGCAGAGATAATAGAATCTAGAATCCATAACCTCTTTAAAATCTTGGCCTTAGTAGTACTACTATGCTTTTGCCTGGCAAATCTACCATCACACAATTTTTGAATCAAATTCTCTGTAATTGGTACCCGAGGGAAAGGTGTGAAAGTAAGACAACTACGTCTCTCATCTACCACCTCAAGAAACATATGATAACATTCTAAACCTGTAACAATAGCACAAGGATTAATAATCAGCTCATGCCCATCGATCATAGTCCTAAGCTCCTAAGGGTGATCCTTACTATAAACAAGATTGACATAAAACAAATGAACAAGAGAGGATAAGCAATCTTAGTAACAGGGACCATAAGATGCAGAAGATGCCTGTAACTGAAGGACTTCATAGCCCATCTAGTGCAAGGATCAGTGATGAACGCTTGATAATCAAAGGTCGTCTTATAAGAAATTGGAATTGCCTTCCAAGCACTTAGCAAAACATCTTTAGTTACCCTAACACGATTAGAAAGAGCAGGACGAACCATCTCTACTTCCAATTAATAGTACCCCCTAAGAAAATCCCTAAAATCACAAAAAATCTCCAATTCCTGTAATCTGGAAATTGAGGCTCGAGCTTAACCTTCTGGGCTCGAGCTTCAACCAATGCTCAAGCTTAAAGTTGTAGAGCTCGAGCTCTACCTGGAACTACAACAAAACAAATCTCAGAAATCAATACACAGATCAACTAAGAATCTTTTTAGACGACCATTATATGTAGATGATGTATAAAGATCCAAATAATTATTCATCCAAAAAGAAACTCATGCTCTCCTACTCCAGATCTAGGGAAGGAGAATGTTAAAAATCATGGTGAATTAGCATGGAGAAGAAACTTGGAGAGAAACTTCACAAGAGAGAGATATATGAGATAATAGAAGGAGGAGACTCAGGCTTTTAAAAACTTTTAAAATCGAGGGCTCGAGCTTCAGAATGAGAGCTCGAGCCTACTGCCAAAAACCCTAAAATTTGCGATGAAAAATGGTTTGAGCTTAGCGTGTGCAAGCTCGAGCTTTTGATAGCTGATGTTTGAGCTTCAGAATGAAAGCTCGAGCTTTGAGACAAATATTTGTATTTTGTATTTTTTTAATTTTTATTTTATTTTTCCTAAATAAACCTAACTTAAACTAAACTAAAATTAAAATAACAGTAAAAATAACTAAAACCTAAAAATTAAAGCAAAAATAAAAAATACAAATACAAATAAAAATAAAAATAAACTATGGTACAACATATAAATACTAAGTTTAATGTCGATAGCTCTATAGTATGCTAAGTTTAACCTCGATAGCTCGACGAAAACTGACCTCTCTAGTCCAGGTAAATAGGATCATGAAGTTTTACTGCCTCCACTGTGCCTCTCTGCACACTACCATTTATGTAGGGTTTAGGTCTCTGTCTATTAACTTTGGACAATTGTCCAGTCTTACAATCCTGTATCTCTATTGCACCATAAGGTGTAACCGAAATAACCATATATGGACATTCCTAACGTGACTTCAGCTTTCCAGGAAAAAGTTTCAGTCTTGTATTAAACAACCAAACCTTCTT